AAAGCTATCAGAGCCATCCTGTCTGCGCTGGCCCAAGAGGAAAGGCATTATCCCCCCAATTCTACCCCTTTCAAAATCAAGCAGATCGTGTAAAATGATAAAAGTCAACAACAATATTTGTGAAAACAGGGCAAATATGCTTAGTTTCTATGCTTTATTTTGAAACTAGCAATTTAATTATTTTGCAGCGGGCATGTTGGATTTTCTTTTTCCTCTTTCCAAAAAGCAGTAAAGCAGCAGGAGGAGAGAAAGGGTCTGGATGCACTAACATGACTAAGAGGCCACAAGGGAGCAACAAAGACCAAGGGAAGGAACAGACCGGCTGCTGTCAATGCACTGTATTGACACTGCCGGCACATTCCTAAATATATCCCACTATTGACCAACTTTATTTTTAAACTCAAACTGGAAAGCCCCAGGAATCCCTGTACTAGCATAATTTACAGCACGCAACACCAGAGATCCTGTCTCCCTTTAGACACAGGGAGCCTGCAATTCACAGGGCAATCCACTCCCTTGGATCTGCACATGCAGGCAAGACACTGAAACCAAGCAAGAACTAGCAATGACAGCCCACCAAGTATTAACTTTTATACTGCAAAACAAATGAGAAAAGGCTCTGGAACACAAGAATTAAGAGAATTCCCTAAACAGCACTCAAATATGGATATACAGATAAGTATATATCAGTATATACACACTTACTTTTCTACTGCCGTCGTTTTCCAGTTTCCCAAGAATCATATCAAACTAACCATGTAAATAAAAAGAAAACAAAATTAAGAATGGTGCACCTTACACGTTCCAAGGTTCTGTGAGACAGTTTGCTGTCACTTTTGAATGACAAATATCTTCTTAAGACTCACTGCAACATCAAATGTTCATACATTTAATTTGAAAATAGTAAGACGGTCTATCAACAATGCAACGGGTAAACGTTAAATTGCCTGTTGAAGAAGTCCTGTGACTCCGACGCAGAACCCCCGTGGTACTGCACAGATCACAGGGGCACGTTTTAGATGCATTGAGGTCGTCACCAGGCATTTACAAGGTACATACGCATTATAGCACACATATATTTCATGTGATCATTCGTCTAGGATTGAATGGTGGACATGTCAATGTTGCTCGCTTTCAAACTCTTCTTTTTTTTCAAATGTGTAAATGTCAGGGCTTTTGATTTTGGCAAAAGAGGTGCCGGAACTCTCAAGAGGGAAATGAAGTTTTTAATTTGCATACTGAAAACTCATGAACTTTTAAACATTTTTAAAAGAATTTTGTCAAACTCTGTTCCAGCACATTCCCCCAGAAAAAAAGCCCTGGGAACATATCAGAGCTGGCTAATTTTTAATAAATGATCTCAGTGAGGCCTTTGGTGCATCCTGGCTTGCTACTGAACCTCAGCTCAAGATCACTTGAAATCAAGTTTTGTGCTTCTCAGCATGTGTGTAGGCTGCTGCCTAAAACCGTGGGACCCCGGTGACCGAGACAGCTGGTCCTACTGCAGTGTCTGTGTGATTTTTGGGAAGACCCTGATTAAAATCTCACGTCCTCCAGGCATTCGTCATGGGCATTTTCTCCCTCACACCTGCAATATCGGGGAAATAATGGCTTGCTTGGTATCCTAGGAAACAAGGTTATTTTTCATGAACCCATTTTGTACCATTCAGAACTTAATGCGGTGGGTGGGGAGAAAAATCATATCTCACTTGGAGTGACGGAACAGTTTGAAAGAGGCCTTTTGGGCCAACCCGATGTCAGCATGCTGCCATTGTGTTTCTATGACCTCTGTGTATATGACCTTCCCCTGCTGTACCCGGCTTGTTATTCTGCTTCTTTGCTGGAATGCCTAAGATAACTACTGGAGGGTTTGTGGAGGAGAGGATGCTGTAATGCTTGCCACTGATTATCGCTTAGAAACTGCACCCTGATGTTCTGCCTGGTTCCCATGGACTGGGCGCGCAACCGTTTCATTTGCCCGCCAGCGGGAAAGTTATTCATTGGATCTGTATCTGTTTGAATTTCCTTTATTATGCTCGCCCTAACTGTGTATCCCCAGTTCTAACAAAGAACGTGTTTGAGTATGTCTTCAACGCTTTGAAATAAATTTTGCTTTTCTTGAAAACGTGGATTTATTCTCGATGCTTGGGGATCCAACATATTGTTAGAACTCTCTTTCTCCTATCGTTCCGAATCTGGCAAGATCATGAGCGGAACTGAGGGAAACCTACTTAACACGGAGGGGGACTCAGGATCGGTCCCACATACCTCCGCTCCTTTGGTGTTCACGACTGCAGCCTCGGTGGAGGGTGCCGTGGGGGGAACGATTCCCCGCATGCCTGCACATCTGTCTTGGCCGCCTCCGACCCCTTCGCACTGGGGTCCGCGGAAGACTCAACAGCAGGATGACTGGACTATGTACAACGCTCAGGGCACCCGAGAGGTGTACTCCCGTCGAGGGAGCGGATTACGTGAAAGTCTGTTTGACAAGGGATTGTTCCCGGAGCCGGGGACTACCTCGGAGAAGGGGAGTTCCAAGCAAGACCTCGAGGAGTGGATGTTCGAGCCATCGGGGCCGCGAGGCCACGCAGAGGATGAGGAGGGCACCGGAGCCTTCCAAACGGAAGAGGACTATGACCCACCCCCGGACTATCGACCTCGGGACCCCATCCCGGAGGAAACCACCGGGGAACGACTGGCAGAACTGGAATACTCGGTGAGGGACTTGTTGAGGACATTCCAGGATGTAATGGAAGCTCTGCCGGGAATGATGGACGTTAGAATGGCTAATTTCCTTGACGCACACGCCGCGCAGCAACAAGTTGTCCCTGCACCGGGAGTTCCCGCACCGCAGCTGCAAGTACCGGGAGTTCCTGCGCCGCACGTGCCTGTCCAGCCGCCGGCGGGACCGCCTCAGCAAGGGCCTGTGCAACAGCCGATGCCGGGGGGTCCGCCGGGACCGGGTCTGCCGCCACCGATGAGGCCAATGCCAGCGGGGCCACCGGTTGGTCCGGGTCTCCCTCTCAGGGGAGTTCCGGGTCAGCTGGGACCGTTGGTAAGGCCTCCACGGCCCAGACCCAA